TTTAATGAGTTACAAAAATCTTTGTGATGTAGGGCCTTGTCAAATACTATGAAGATGAAGGGTTCTCTTTGACCGGATGTGCTCTTGCGGCTAGCGAATGCAATGTACCCAAAAGAATAAATAAATCAATTAATGCTTCATAGTGCATGCATTTGGTTTACATGCCCAAGTTTCTTATGGCATCATTCAGCATAGAGTAAGCTCTATACATCATCCTTCCAAAAAAAAAACTCTATACATCATTAAACAAGGTATTTGAAGTACATACATATATATATATATATATATATACACATCATCCTTCCAAAAAAACAAAAAAAAAAAAAAACTCTTTTTCATCTGTCCTGTATTGTAGTTCACTTTCCTATTGAACAATGTAGTTGTATTTTAATTTTTCTAAAATACCCTTATTCAATGTAAGTAGTTGTTACTATAAACCTACCTCATTTAATGAGAGTTGATCCCTTTTTGACCATCAACTCAAGTTTCCATAAAGTTATACCATATTTAATGTGAGGGTATTTTAGGAAAATAGCAATCTAAATTTACTTTTTTAATAAAATTAACTATTTTTTCTTAAAATGTGTGAAAAAAGAAACATGACCATCAAAATGGGACGGAGGGAGTATTTTCTGTTGTAATAACTTACAATTTTAAGGCTCATTATGGTTAAAATGAGCACTGAAATTGCTGCGTACAAAATTCACTCTCCAAATTTTTTACCCCACATGAATCACATGGGCATACAGAACACATCTAAAATATCATCATCCGCTTGCACGGGAATCTAAGGTTGTCTCATCCGGCTGCTCCGTTGATTAAATATTTTTTAACTTTTCGTTTTGATTTTGGCATCTAGTCTTTCCTTGCTACCGAAATTCTCAAAAAGATTAGTAAATTATTGTCCTAGTCAGTTTCTTTTTTTTATTACTACGTCAATCTCGACAAAATTTAATACTTCATAATATAGAAAAACAAGAACAACAGTGAAGTTATTATGCAAAAACTAGTGCAGATCTACCCCAGACCGGAGTAATTCAAATTTTGTTACGCCAACTCACCAATTCAAACATTAAATGTATCATAAATATGTGACAAAATTTGAGTAACGAGGACTAATATACAATTAATGTCTACTCAAGTTTTTGCCAATTAATTATGTGCTATTCCACATAAAGCCCTTGCTCTTCATAAATAATAAAGCCACGACAAAGGCCTTGTTGTTTGAAAAGAGAGGAAAAAGTGTAAGTGTGTGTTTGGATTGTATTTTCCATGAATTTTTCGTTGAAAAAATACTGTAGCGATTTGATATATGTGAGGTAAAAAGGTGATAGGGAAATGTGTTCACGGAAAACAAGCCTATTTTTCGGTAGAAAATGGCTATCCAAACAAGCAATTAAGTGTTGTTCGGGAGTCCTTAAAGAAAAATATCCAGCAATTTATGGGTGGTTTTGTATTCATTCTCCAAATTTTCCCTCTTTTTTTTTTTCTCTAAATTTTCAAATATGTTGAAACATATACGGCGCAATTCCATAAAAAACAGCCGGTCAAAACGAAGCAAATACTTCCACACTATATTACATACGTAATACCATGGAGGATAATTGAATCAAGATAATTTGGTCACCTTTAATGTGGAGTTTCATCAAGCAACTTCATCAAGAAGTGCGATTAATCAATCGACTATAAAATGTTGTTCACAAAGAGAAGTTGCCGGGACGAGGACTCGGGATATCCAGACAACTTGTGGTCTCCCGATGATAATGGATGCATTCTTCAAACTTCATTGCTAGTGTAAACCTAACTTGGAAAACAGTCTTCTTGTTTTATTCTCTTTCCCTTCACAAGTTGATAAAACTTGTTTTGTGGAGTATCATAGTTTGATTAGCTTTTAACAATTTAGAAATTGCGTGTTTGATAAAACGTCACTTAAAAACCTAACTTAACAATTGTTACAAGATATTATATACGATTCTTGAAAGTTACGTATATAAACTCTTTCAATTGTTACTTTGTATCACTTGGAATTTTAAAAATTCACAAAAGTGCTCACAAGGTGATGGATAAATAGTGATATATTTTAAAAATTAGTGATTAGAAGTAGTTTATTAAGGAGGGATAACTTAGATCCAAACAATCGCAAATAAAGGAGGGATAACTTAGATAATACAGTAAAGGAAGTATGAGTGAGAGGAATCTTCCACTTACGCTTAAAAAAAAAAAAAAGATTTGAAGTAATTCATAACTTTCAAAATTTCAACGTTTCTAACATTTCTACTTCCCTATTACTTTCAGGCCATAAAAGCTACAGCCATTGAGCACCGCAGCATGTTGGAACCTTTGGGCCTGCACATGACACTGCCCCGCAACTGTCCCTACTGATAGTCCTTGCAAGTTGTTTCCGGTAAAACAGAACCTTAATCAACAAATCAAGTATGCATTTCAACTGGGCTCGGACTTGAGGAATATACATCAGGAGTTTATGGACCTCGGACAATCGAGGCCCGTCAGAGTTCAAGAAGTTAAAAATCTAGTATCTTACCATTGTCGGTAGGCCGATTCTCCGTTCCATTACATACTTTAGAACGAGTTTTTGGAGATGAAATGTCACGTTAGAGTTGAAGGATGAATTAAATTATTTAATATCTGAATCGAATTCGATTTGATAAGAGTTTGTTTGTCAACCAGTCAAGAGTAGTTTAAACAGTATTTCATGTTCGATAATTTTTAAACTTGATAAAAAAATTCGTTCAAATTCGATTTGGCAAATAAATAAATCAAAATTGACAAAAATTTTAAACTCGTTAAAATAATCAAACAAGTTTGAACATTAGGATGTTCAGTTTTATTAGATTCATTTACACTCCTATGCCACTTTTTTTTTTTTGTTTTGAGGAAATGTCACATGAGATGTCGATACTCAATTGGATAGAAATAAGAGCTATAACAATGTATATTCAGATATTGTTAACTGGTGGTTGATTCGTGATTACAAATGATTAATGTTGTCATTTTTATTAGTATCTCCTTAAATGCTGAATCCAACCTAAGTTCAAAATTCTATTCTTTGATCTAGAATTAGTCATCTCCTACTCAAGTGCTAAGTATATATAGGAGGTTTGATCTATTACCATATTTTTTTCTCAAGAAAGCAAAGTGATATCAAAATTGTTTTTGTTTATCTATTTTATCGACAATACACGTGATGCGACTACCGAAGCAAGATCTGAATTGTACCGCACGAGCTGGGCAAACTGGGTAGGAACGGGCTGACGAAAGAAAGAGACGCGTGCCAATTGACCTGCGAAGAGAGGTGAAAGACGGGGTTGGCTCCTCGGCGACACTCCGACGAACAATTCAACGAGAGCTTTTTGATCAGAGTAACAATATAGAGTATAGTAGACAACGTACCTTGTTTTACCCCCAGTACAAGAAATTTGGTTATTAGTGACAACATTTTTCGGCGACGAAAAACAATTGTCACAGAATGGGGTCCTTTAACCACGATACAGAAAGTTGTCACAATTGAGTCAAGGGAGTCAACACATCAGTGACGACCTTGCATTGTCGTCACAGTTCAATTCCTGTCAGGAGCCATGAAGAGAGCGGGAACTGCAACAGTAACAACTTTCTAAAAGTTGTCAGTATTAATAGCACTTTCTTTGACAACTTTGCAATTGTTGTTACTGATAACATTGTATAGCCGTTAGTGACAACCTAGTTTTGTCACTATTTGATTTAAAATATTTATTGCTTTTTGCAACTATTACTCCTAATTTTTTGTAATCACTATGTGTTTTTTAATGGTTTTTAACTGTTATATACTTATGAACCTCCTTATTAGTTTAATTTTCTTGTATATGTAATAATTTCATTAGAATAATAATAATTAAAAAATAAAAAATTCATTAGTGTAAATAAACTTATGACTACTTAACTTAGAATGATTATTAGTTAATTTGATATGAATATAAATAAGAGTTTTCAAATTGAACTAGCTATTGAAGTGGATAAATCCTAAACTCCATACTTAATTAACTAATACACTTTATGTATTAGTTTAATTGTGCATTTTTTTTCTTATTTGAAGATAATGGATTAATAGTGAAGTTTTGTATTGGATGTTAATTGAATGTGCGCTATTTAAAATGTGCTTTGTTAATTGAATATGATCTATTTAAAATTTCTACCAATTACAATTTTGAGACAGTATGGTTAACAAGAAATGGTTAATAATACATAGGGCTGTCAATGGGTCGGGTCCGGACCGGAATAATGACCCGGACCCGAATTACTATACCGGACCCGGATCCGACCCGTTTACCCTACGGGTCTTTTATTCTATGTTCCGGATCCGGATCCGGCGGGTCCCGGATCCGGGTCGGATCTACCCGAACAAATTTAGCAAAATTTATAATTTCTAATAAAAATGAGAAAAAAAAATATTTGTAAACTAATTTCTAACTAATGCAAAGAAAAAATCAAATAAGAAAAGAAATCAAATTGACTTTATTCAAATACATCAACCTAATCAAATTATATTGATAAATATATATATTTTAAATTATTAATTCATTTTATATCCGGATCCGGGTCTAATACGGGTCGGAATACTATATTCCGTATCCGACCTGTTTTTTTTTTACAAAACGGATCCGAATCCGGGAAACGAAATTAAATCTCTACCCATACTCGCAATAATTTCACGGATCCGGTCTGGATCCGGGTCTAGACCCGACCCGTTGACAGGCCTAATAATACATTAGTAAATTATTTTCAAAAAATTTAATATGTTAGTAAATTCAAATAAAAGTTAAAGTTACAAAATTGATTGAATTAACTAGTACCGAAACTTTGTGACGGCAAAATAGTAAAAAAGTTGGCGGGGACTCTTTTGTTGAAAATTGGGAGAAAGAAACACCCTTTAACTCTCAGTACTCTCCAGAGAGAAACAAGCCACCATTCCTTTTCCCAAACTCCCCACTCTGACTTTTCACTTTTCTATCTCGCATCCCTCAAAGAAGAGAAGACACTCTCCATTTTCCATAAACTCTCGGCCAAATATGGATTCCCCAAGCTGAAATCGATTCATTCTCCCCTAACTCTAAGGTAAGTCCTCTCATATCTCTCATTGTTTTTCTTATTTTTCCCCCAATTATGTTGCACTAATTTTTTTTCTTTTAGATTGTTTGAGTTGTGGGTTCAATAATCTCATAGAAAGATTTAAGTTGTGGGTGCAATAATCTCCTTCTCCGTTGCATTAGTTCTTCCATGTATTAGAGCTTCCATCCTCAATTCTTCGGATTACCGAAAAGCCCATAGACAATAAGAACTTAAAAAAAATACAAGAATGAGATTAATTATGACTGTTTTTCATTCACGGTAGGTATGGTTTTTGGGATATATTTAGCCCAAAACTACAACGTCCCCAATGTTCTAAAGCCCCGGAATACTAGTTTGGTAATTATCAACCACATTGAAGAAAATTACTGTAAGCCCAAGAATTGACACAATGGTGAGTAGTTGGCCAGCATTTCTGGTGTTATGTTTAGTCCACCAAGTGTTTGATTTGAGTTTGTTTTTTTGTTTAGGGGATACCTTTTGGGAGGATTTTTTTGGTATAGAGAGAAAGGTATTTTGCAGGTCTAGGGTTTATAAAATTTAGTGGAAGGATTATGAATTTAGTTATAGATGTTGGAAGAGGGAAATAAGAGAATTTTAAAGAATAAGACACTTCAAATTTTGCAAGTAGAAATGTCCCCAAAGATGGTCAAATGTTTTGTTCAAGTATTCTGCAATCTGTCCAGCATCTTGTATGGTCTATTTTGTCTCATTTAATCCTCTTACTGTCTTACTGTTATATTTTTGCTTGTTAAAAAGTCATCTTTGGAGCATAGATTACTTTTGATTAGCTAAAATGATCTTTGGAACATAGTCATCCCTGGTTGTTAAAAATCATTTACCACTAATTAGCTGAAACACAGATTACGCTTGACTATGCTTGATTTTCCTTTAACTTTTGAGCAATAATGTTCTATTTAAATTCATAGTTTCAGGCCTTATTAGATCCATCTACATATGTACAATTTGATGTGAATTAGACTCCAAAACCTTAAATTGTTTGTACTATGATTTGTATTTTTTTTTTACTATGCTTGAAGCTGCTAACATGGGTTCGGTGTCTCGATAGGAGGTTGTCATTTAGCTGCTTATACTGATTATGTCCTTGTATACATGGCTAGAATATATGGGTTCATACTGCATCAGCTAGTCAAAAAATTGTTGCAACATCATCAAGGGATGGATTGGCATCTTCTACATCTGTTAAGATGCAAACATATGAGCCTCCTACTGTAGCAGGTTGTATCTAACCAGTCCGTTGGTGGAAATAATACACCTAATGAGAGCAAGGATCTTCATGACAATGGAAATGGTTTGTAAGATCTACCTGTAACTGCATTACAACTTAATATATCTCATGTCATGTTTCATTATTTATATTAATAATCTTCTAAATATGTTTTGGTTAGACCATGTGAACTTAAGTAGGAAGAGAGGTCATACTCATAACATTGCATTGTTTAAGGAAAAAATGGCTGGAAAGAAAGTAAAAGTTAACGTCTCAGAATTGAGTGGAAAAATAATTGGAGAAGGTGCTCAAAAGTTTATCTCAGAGGCAAGTTGTGTGATTCAAAAATATGGGAAATGAAAAGCACCAAAATGGTCTAAGCTTGAAGAAGTTGACAGAGAAACAATGCTGAAACTCACTAATGTAAGTTAACTTCATAGGAGAGACACAATTTTCCACTTGACTTATCAAGTTGTATCATTTTTTACTAATTTTGGTATGATCGAACTTCATATTTCAGAATAGTTTCACTCATGATGAATGTCAAGATATTAAGTCAGCATTGCTTAAGCAACTAAATTCACAATACCGAAGTCGGCATTATACATTTGATAAGATCTTCAAACAATCTGGGATAATGGAGGAAGCACTAGCAAATCATCTTGCATATGTGGTAGAAAATGATTGGAGTTTCCTTTGTAACTACTTTTGCAGTCCTGAATTTAAGGTAAATGGCCTGATTGTTTTTCAATTACTATTTCTTAGTACCATACATGCTATATTTTGTTGAATTTGATTAATCCTTTCACTTCTTTAATGTAGGCGATGAGTAAGAGGAATAAGATTAATAGAATTGTTGTACCTTAATTTTATTGATCAGAGATAACATATTATATTTTTGCTTCTTCTTGATGCTTAGTATGAAAGCTTGTAAGCTGTAATAATCCCAAATCTTGGTACATGAATGAAACAATTTATTATTTTTCTATTGGTCCTTGCTATGGAATTTTCAATTATAGTGTTGTTTTTGGGGTAATTTTATACTCCTTTCTATCTATGCTATACTTGTTTCAAATAGTTGGGTCTTATCAACCAAGTTTCTATAAAAGTGACAATTTTCAATTTGTTTTTGGAGACATTTGCATATAACCAAGCTACAAATGGTCTCTAATCTAACTAGTAAAAAAGAAATTTCATAATCTGATATTTCATGACATCTAATGCATACTTTTCTTGATAATTACTTACTTTTATGCTATTAAAGCTACTAGCATGAGATATTTGCTATTAGAACTTTTGAAAATTGAAAGTAGGTTGGTTAGTGAATGTACTAGTTCACCTCATAGTCTAAAGCTTTGATTTATAATGGAGCATCTTTTTCATTATTTTACACAGTTTCACTAAAATATTAGATGCATCAAATTTTTGTTATTAAAATCAATAAAACATTACCAATGGGTGCAAAGAATCTCTATATATGTTGGAGTTTTATTTGTCATCGAAACTTGGTCTAGTGGTAAATAATATCGTTTTCAATATCTGAAAAGTTGAAGTTGCTATGCATGATCTATTGAATGAACCATACAAATGGAGCCTACGAAGCCATAGAAGGATCACTGTTTGGTTCTTAATATGGTAGCATAAGCATATTAATTGTTTCCTAAGTTCTTAATAATTTAGTAGAAGTAAAAGAAGTGTTTCTTGAACTCTAATGTTCTAAGTGCTTTATCTCTTACTTTGCTCTTATTTAGTCACTGTCTAGATTATACTTCAAAGGAATGATTTACCTTATTTTCTTGCAAATTCTTTGGTTCTCTTTCTTGTCTCAAGTTTTGCTTATGACTAACTAATAATTGCAGGACTTCACTGCAAATATGTTGCTCATTTTAGCTTTTTAGAAGATAAGCAGCAGGAGTTGCTAATTAACTCAAGAACTATAAAGAAAATCTTATACCTAGGAAATGTTTTGACAGCACATATTTTTTTTGGGACTTGGATTTTTTTTGTAAAGCTACCTTGACTTATATGTGAAGTTTAGGCCAAATACCACTTATCAAACTATTTGTAGGGTGTTGTTGAACTTCATTATGATATTCGAATATTTGATATGATATTTTGGCATTTCGTAATGTATTGGATGCCTTCATCTGTTAATTATCAAGCATTGTCATTTTTTGCCATTTTTAGATATAATTGTATCAGGAAAATCTTCAAATTTCATAGTGATAAAGTGTTGTCACTGAATTAAAATTCTACATTGATAACAACCTATTGTCATAGAATTAAAAAGTGTTTAGTGACAACAAAAGTTGTCAATAATTAATCTATACCAATGACAACTATGGATTAGTTTTAGTGACGACATTACTTTGTACATCATTGACATGATACTGTGTCATCACTAAAATTACAACAATTATTGACGATACCAGTTGTCACAAAATAGTTTGATTCACTGACGACTTTTAGGGTCGTCACATGTACTTTTACCAACGGGCCTTCAGCGACGACTGTGTGACGACTAGAAAGTTGTCAATAAAAGTTATCAGTGACGACTTTTAATTTTATTGTGACAAAAATGACTTATCACTAATGACCAATTTTCTTGTAGTGTCTATTGTGTTGTATTTATAGAGTTCTGGGTAGTAGTTTCCTTATAGGACTATGAGTCCTGGTAGAGAGAGAGTCTTTCTAGGGATCCGTCTGTCGGTTCCGACAAGTTCGGGTGCCACGGCCCATCAAGCCCATCCAGCTGGGAATCGGCGGCCTTGCGCGAACTGGCCTTTTATTTTCCCGAGCTGACCTACCCGACTTGCCATGTCTTCATGCTCGAACCGACACGTGGGTGGGTCCCACTACAACATGCATGCAAGAACCTCACAAATCATATACCAGTACGTAACAGTTGGAATGGTTACACATGCACGGTTGTCATTGTACAAGCTGACATGAATGAACGCATTCTATTTTTAAGACTGCAATTTACAACAACAACCATTGTGATTTGGATCTTATACTACCTCTCTTTTGTGGATTCCGCAGATCCAAAAGGTTATCTAAAAACCGCCAGTAAACTTGAGGATCCATAGGACCGTCAATGGCTAGGGATAGCTGGTCGAGTAATCTTCCCATTTTTCCTTTCGGTCCTGATTTTCTTTGAACCCTTTGGAGTTATATAAGCCTACAATCGTGAATGTAATTGAAATTGCTATGGTTAATGAAAAAAAAAAAAAAAAAACTTCGTCTGGAGGGCTATATTGGCCTTCGGCATGCCTGTCTACACTTCATTCTCAAGTCGCAGAATTTATTCCTTTCCATGAAGCACTAGACTTGAGAATAAGGTGTTTCGACCGAGAATCTGTGACCTAAGTTTACTGCTAGGGTGGAAAATCACAACTTGAAGGCAAATCTGAGCAGAAGAATTTAAGGACTTCGTATTTTTAACGCCTTGAGAATATTGAGTTACGGCGGGGAGAATATTAAACTTTATAAAAAGGTCCTTTGTCCTTTGAAGTTAGACTTATTGAAAAAGCAGTTAGATTATTCTTTTTTTTTTCTGATAGAAAGTTAGATTTATTGGTCGCTCGCTCAGATGTAATCTCTTTTTCTTAATTGTGACTGTTATCAAAGTTACATTTGGTAAATAAGGATGTCAATGCCCTTACAAAGCTTCTAGCAAATTAACGAGCTATGGCCTATATGTGGACCACTTGGGATCCTCGATGACATGTTTTTTATGCCAACCCAATGCCACCTATAATATTGTGTCAAGTGTCCTGTTATTATTTACACTTGTGTTAAACCAAACTAAGTTGAATTATTAAAAAATTAAAGTGTAAATAATAATGGGACACTTGGCGCAATACTATAGGTGGCATTGAATTGGCATAGAAAAACATGTCACCGAGAATTTCAAGTGATATATGGACGGACATACATCTCTTTTTTCCTTTTCTTTTTTGTTTTTTCTAAATCAAAATCCCTGTAACATTTCCATTTTATGACGGTTACCTCTGATAATTGATTATTCTCTTTTCGTATTGGGTTAGAACAATCTCCAGTTTCTAGCCAAAAAAAAAAAACCAATATTGTTTCATAAAAAATATTTTACAAACTCGTGTACATTTTGCAGAGAGCGTTCTCAAGCAATATCAGAGAGCGTTCATAAAAAACCAATAAGCACCGTAGCATGCTATCAAGAATCTGGGGTAGCAAATACGGATTGCCCCTCTACCAGCCAGCACTAGTAGGGTACCAACGCGTTCTCATCCAAAATTATTCCCCACACTTTTTCACATTGATCATAACGCAAATGGCCTTCTCGAAATTGTTAATGGTTGCCTGCAAGGAGAAGAGAAAGCAGGAATCTTTGGATCCCCTGAATGGCAAAATCGGCTGGCATTCACCGTTCAGAGCCTACCTTGAAAAACCCGACGTGCCTTTGCTTTGATGGCACGCTGACAGGGAGAGTACATAGCCAAAAAGCAAACAAACATCCAACAAATTTTATGGAGATGATTGGCATCCAAGGAAAGGACACTGGACTGGTGAACCTTCTTGAACTTAACTGTCGTTAATGGGTAATGCAGCAGTCTGCAGAGGATTAATTTGATTTTTACTTTGTAGCGTGGCAATATCCAGCTGTTCATGCTTCAAAAGGTTCAGCTGCAGAAAAAGTCGGATCTATGTCCCCCACAATTGGTGCAGTTGTACGCTAATTGACTACTCAGCTTTAGGTTTGTAATAATTTAAGAATGCCCCAGTTGACTCACAAAGGTTAATAATTTACTAAGAAAAAGAATAGTAGAGTATCAAATCAGCAATTCTCTTTCATTCACAAATAAAAGTACTCCTCCATCGGTTCCATAATTTGATTCGTTTGTCGAGAAACCAGCTCTTTGACAGAACATGTAATCATTGTAACCAGCTCCATTGTATTCGGAGGAGTTAGATTTGGGTGACTTTACAATATGTTATTCTCAAATTCATAATTTAAAAGCATGAGGAATGCATTGGAAGGGTGGAAAACGTCGACAAGGTGAAAAGACTAATAAAACATGATGTTAATTTTTAGAGAGTGATTCCTTTTTGAAACATTCGAAAAAATAAAAATATGACATTAATAGTACGACGGACATAATATTATTTTAATACCATAGTGTTACATTCCAAAATATTTCAATACAACTTGAGAATACAGTAATTCTGAACATAAAAAATAATAAGCCCAACAGTAATTTTAATACTGCATTACCATAGCAATACAGTAATTTTTCAATTCCCACACTGCAGACTTGCAGACTGGCACTTTTGACAGTGGGCATAACTTATTAAAGAGCAGGACCCAAATTTAACCCAAAAAAAAAAAAAAAAAGGAGAGCTGTAACACACTTCATAGGCTTTGACATGGCTGAAATACTGAAGACTTGACAATTCAGAGATCAATGCTGGAGGAATCTCAACGATGGCATGGGGTCAGCTTTGCTGGTCCAAAGGCAAAAGGTCCAACATTGTACAGGGCATATTTTGGTGCCAAAGGATTGGGCTTGTGAGCTGGATTTGGCATTAAGCCTGCTCCCGTCGATCCATAATTGAGATTTGTCGGAGCGCTGCACTTCATGGAGGGCGATTTCACTAGATACGCCTTACAAGTGCTGGCAGCGACGCTGGTCACCATCTCTGGCACGATCAAGAAGTAACCATTCTTGTCTGTCTTGCCTTCTGCCACCACAGGCTTAAACCGGGTATTATGACATCTAACTCTCACCACAGCACCTGCAATTCCACAGTAACAATACATCATGAAGTCCCAGAGTAATTCACCAAAAAAAAAAACGTAAAAAAGACTCGGTCAAACAAATTATTAGCCATTCCTTCTTTCCTAACCATGCGCGAACATTCTTTGATTTTTGTCGTTTAGCTCACTTTAGTGTCATGAAGGTTTATGACTTTTAACAACAGGCCCACGTGACAAACTCTATTTCCTTATTCCAATTGTAGCATTTCGATTCTTCAAGGTTTCTTGGTTTCGGCTTCTTTTGTTTGAGCAACACGAATCAGTTCTTGTGCATGACATTGTAGCTCAGGATTGTTTTGGAATAAAAGGGCAAAATGAAAGGGTGCACGAGAGAGTAGTATCTTTTGGAACAATACTTTGTGGTACTCACGAAATGCTGTCCTCTACAAGTTCCTAAGCTAAAAAGCATAAGAAAAAAACACCTAAAAGAAGAACGGAAAATTGTGAAAAGGGGATGTTTAAAGTAGCGTTATGGACGTACCCTGGAGAGGCACAGCTGCCTTGGGATTAAAACCAGCATAACTGCAGGTCTTGCAATAAACAACTCCTTGTACCGCCACAAGCTTCCTTACCGGAGGGTGGACTGGAGGCTTCACGGGAGGGTACACTGGAGGCTTAACTGGAGGCTTCACAGGAGGGTGCACTGGAGGCTTAACCGGTGGGTGTACTGGAGGCTTCACGGGAGGGTGCACTGGAGGCTTAACCGGTGGATGAACTGGAGGCTTCACGGGAGGGTATACTGGTGGATGAACCGGAGGCTTCACGGGAGGGTGCACTGGAGGCTTAACCGGTGGGTGTACTGGAGGCTTCACGGGAGGGTGCACTGGAGGCTTAACCGGTGGATGAACTGGAGGCTTCACGGGAGGGTACACTGGTGGGTGTACTGGAGGCTTCACGGGAGGGTGCACTGGAGGCTTAACCGGTGGAGGGTGAAGGCTGGAGGAGGCTTCACGGGAGGGTACACTGGTGGATGAACCGGAGGCTTCACGGGAGGGTGCACTGGAGGCTTAACCGGTGGGTGTACTGGAGGCTTAACCGGTGGATGAACTGGAGGCTTCACGGGAGGGTACACTGGTGGATGAACCGGAGGCTTCACGGGAGGGTGCACTGGAGGCTTAACCGGTGGATGAACTGGAGGCTCCACGGGAGGGTACACTGGTGGATGAACCGGAGGCTTCACGGGAGGGTGCACTGGAGGCTTAACCGGTGGATGAACCGGAGGCTTCGCTGGAGGGTAGGTTGGGGGGTGGTGGTGGTGGTGGTGGTGGTGACCCTTGTGGTGTTCAGGGGCTTCAGCTGGTGGATGTGCTGGCCATTTGGAATGTTCATGCTGGTCAGCAAAAACTGATGAGCTTATGAGCAGAAGCATTGAGAGCTGCATGAGAACAGGGATTTTGGCTGAGAAAGAAGCCATGATGGCCAATGCTGGGCAGTGGAAGGGGGTGTGTGGTTTGTGACTTAGTTCGTGGGTTTTAGTAAGCTTTGGGGAGTGTATTTATAGGGCTTTGAAGTCGACATATTAGGGTGGGAGTTTGCTCTAATCTTCATATCGGGCCTACTTAATACTGCGGGAGGCTTAAAATATTGCTGTTGAGAATTCCTGAGAAAGACAGGCTACGAAGGATTCAGACTCAAAATTTACATCTGCCTCGCTTGATGTCAATGCCATCTGATATTTTATCCAACAATTGAACCCTTAAGTTACACTGTACACATATCTAGTCCAGATTCCAGAGGAAGACGACTTATTTGGTTCCCAGTCTCACTCCATAAATATAACCATTTAAGGGTCAAAATTATAAATTCCCTACTAATCTTATGTTCTACTCTACTCTTTTCTATAGCGAATAAGGGCATTGTAAGGTCGTCATACACACCTCTGGATACAACTTGACAGCTGGTGGCTCGGAAAAAAAAATAAAACATACACACGCCTACTTACACTGAAAAAAAAATACATACATATATGGATGTTGGATCATATAATAAGGTGACTTGTATTCATTTATTTTGCATGGACTAATAATCGTTATATATGTCATGATAAATTGATAATTCCAACAAGCAGTTTGATACTAAGGGTGTGTTTCATAAAATTAAAATCTAAAATTTGAAATCTGAAACATAAATATGTTGAGTTACTAAATTGTTAAATATTAAAATCCTAACATTTTAGCATATTCAAATGATAAGTGAACAACTTATCACTTATTTTATAGAATAAGTTTTGCTTAAGCAATTCAGAGTCATTTAATTAATTAAAAACATTCTATGTTTAGTTATCAAATACATTTGAACATATCAAGGTGCGAACCTATTAAATTTAAGTGCTGAATCGAGTTATCAAATGAGGCTTATAAGTTATAGCAGAAAAACTAAAATTAGTTTTTTAAGGATTCATTGTATTGAGAAGCCAACTAATTTTTCGATTAGATGATGCAGTGTTCTATGATGTCACCGACATTGAGGCAAAAATTAAAAAAAAATTACTGACCACATTTTCTCAAGAGCTATAGCATTTGTGTGGCTATGCACCCAATATTCCAAAAAATTACTGACCTCCTTTTTCTGTCTAAATATTACACAAATGTATTGATGACGATATAAACAAACATTTCAATTCTAGAAAGACCATTTTAATAAGACAGGAAAACTGAGGGAGGCTCACTCATATTTTATAACGTTGTTTGTACTTTGTAACTTCACCAAAAATTTCAGAAAATAGCACTGTAACTTACTACAGGCTAGGAAAGAAGAAGAAAATGAAAGACAGAAAAGACTTTGAGGTAAGGCTGCTGCAATAATCCCATTAAACTTGCCTCAAATAGTGTTTGTTCTTGATAGTGAATCACGGAACAGTACATGTGGCTTGTTACTTTCACATGCAGAGGTGGGGTTGATGAATTTTGTTCACTGCACGGCTTGCGAGGTCGCAATCTGCAAGTTTCAACTTACTTTTTTTTTTCTTTTTCATGTACCCTCTTCAGGAAATTAGAATCCAATGACTTTAATGTGGTTTGGCAACTTAGATTCGAAAACACATCATGCTCTTCCTGCGTTTTCAATGCCACAAAACCCGAAGAATGAAAGTGAATAATGCTACCATTTATGTGAAAACTCTGCAACTGTGAACTGGCTATCCTCTTCGTCATGTGGCTTGTTTTTTTTTTCAGCTTAAAGGGCTATTTAGCTGTCTAGCATCTAAGAAATATTAGAGTGGTGAATTATTTGAAAGAAATTGAATAGGTTCATTCAATGACAAATTAATTTAAGCACTCAATGTTTGGTCTAACCCTGAATGCATCATCTTTTAACGCGGGAACTTCCGCAAGAAATGGTGAATGCAATCACGGAGCTGAGGCGCGCCCGCGCGCGGGGGGGGAAGGGGGGTGGCAATTGTGATTTCATCAGGTTTTGTGAGGTTGAAGTATACTTTACATTATTTAATGCACAATTGCATAATATTGTCATATTTGTAAAAATGTTGGTGTAAATGAATAAAATATTTCATATATATATTTCGCATAATAACGTAATATAATTATACATCAAATATCATAACAAATATAATTATAAGACGGAACTGGACATAATACAATCACATGTGCTCCAAATCCCACTTTTAACGTGTAAACTTTTCAAAGAAACGCCTTTTCAACGGAGAAAAGATGATACTTAAGAAACGAGCAAGAAGGAAACTTTTAATTTTTGAAACCATAACTTTAGTCATTAGATCAAAACTTCATCAGCTAATTTCTGCAAATAGATCATGTTTACTATCAAGTTATTAATTTTGCTGGGCTTAACCGCAATTTGTAGGCAAGACCGCTAAATGTTGGCGATAGAAATGGGTGGTGATCAAGATTGAATATGTACTGGTAGTACTCAGTAGATTCTGCCATTAAGAGGGGGAAAAAAATTAAACGTGTCCAGAAAAGAGATGAAGAAAAAAACAAAACATGTATGTATAAAAGAAATGAAAAGTGTACATGCATCCTTGTACGTACAGAACTTCGTATATACAAATATAGGCCCTAAGATAACACGTACTTTAACTAATTTTCCAACTAATGATGAGGTCCACAACTTGGTCCAAAATGGGATATCACTTCAGCACAGAAATAATTCTTTTGTCTGTTGTGGTAGAAATTTAATTTGAACCATAAGATGGACTTGTGTGCAATATAGCCGTTGGATCCTACTTAGAAGAAGTGGCACGATTTCAGATGTAGTGGTTGGATACCGGTTGTAGAAGTAAAAGCTTTCATTTGACCAACTAAAAAAATGATAAATTGTTTAAAGGGTAAAAAATGAATTTAACATATATAAGGACACATATAGGGCTGCCCAACCCGACACCATTTGTCTTATGAAGAATCTAATGCTTGCCGACAAACATACAAGAGTGTTGGAGAAATTTCCAACTTTGTGATGAATTTTAAAAAAATTCTACAAAAAGGGTGATTTTAGGTTTAATTTCCGTCAGGGGGTCTTCGCATTTGTGAAATGCGAGCTCAATGAGCTCGCATTTCACAAATGCGAGCTTACAAGAGCTCGCATTCGTGGAATGCGAGCTCTGGTTATTGAGCTCGCATTCCACGAATGCGAGCTCTTCTCAATTTTTTTTTTCCTTTTTTAAGAGCTAGGGAATTATTTCTAGGAAGCAAATGCGAGCTCTTATCTTTTTTATTTAGTGTGTCAGAGAGTTGCCATAATCTCCTTAAACCCGCATGCGGGTTTAAAGAGTATTCGGATATTCTCATATGCACCTATGCAAATCGAACCAACCGGATATCTTATCCGTATCCCATTTTTTTAAATAAAAATCTTATAAATTTGAAAAATAAAATCAAATTTAGATGTATTAGGGTTTTAAAAATATTATATAAGTGATAAAAATTTTATAAATTGTAAAAATAAAATCAAATTTAAATAATTAAATGTTATATTTGCCTAAGAAATAATACAATAATCATAATAATGATAATACAATAATATTGGTGTAATAAAACTGCCATTAATTTAAATATTTACTTATAATGCCCAAAGAGCCTAATTACCAATTTTTTCTTCTCGCGCTCAAATATAACATTAACCCGCATGCGAGCTAACCTTGAAATAGAAAAAACACAGAATCCCGCTTGCGGGTTTCAACGTTAGTGCGAGCTCGCATTCTCAGAATGCGAGCTCACTGAACTCGCATTCTCAGAATGCGAGCTCACTGAACTCGCATTTTGATGTTGAGCTCTCACTGAGCTCGCATTCTCAAAATGCGAGCTCAATGAGCTCGCATTCTGAGAATGCGAAGACCCCAATTCCAGAAAACCATTCACAATACGCCCTCGTTGTAGAATCATTTTTTTTTTCATCACAATGTAAGAATTCACTATTACCACGTGCCATGTTCATACTTGAAGAATATGTTATGCCAACGTGGCAGTTATGCGTTGTTATCCAGACGCTCATTTAATTTGCAATTTTTGCATGCATGCAGAGTAATTATCGTCATTAACATTGACTTTTATTTTGTATTTTTTGTTCAAGCATGCTCTGTAATTCGTGTTTAATGATCGGTCTTGAGATGCCAATATATGGATATAAGTAGTTGAATTAATACACGTGTAAACCAAAGTTAATATATAATACACGGTAATGATATACTAGTTTGTAACAATGCTAAATCTAGTACGTGCCACGCGTGTACTGAAAACTAGTAGTGTTACTAATTCACATTCAATGAAATGAATACTAGTACTAATATACATGTAAAGAAAATAAGGTAATAAAGATTAAAACTCCTAAGATGGAAGAAAATAAGGCAATAAAGATTAAACCTCCTAATATGATAATTCCTCTCCTTATGAATTTAATTAACTAATATAATATATTATTATATAATATATATTTATATAATATATTATACATGTGTATATAATATTTATAAATATAATTACATTTACATTTTTTATTATAAATATATTATATAATTATATATTAATTTTTAACAAGTAGTGGGACGAGCCTCGTTTCTAAAAGGGAATCAGACTTGGCTTTTATCCAATACCCTTCAAATTACTAGGGAATTGGAAAACTCCAAATTTTTAGATATAATTCCAAAATTTCAATTCTGATAGTAGTAATCCAAACAATGATTATGAGATTTATTTCAATTCTCTATACCGAAACCTTTTTACCAAATACCACCTAATTATGCATTCAATCCGATAGTCGATAGATGTGGTGCTTGCTCATAAGAAAATGGTAATAGATATGGATCATTTCGTTATGAATTTCCTAATGCGTTGTAAGACTATAACGATAATAGCTAATTACAGCAATTAATCAGATAGTCGATTCCGATGATTATAACTAATTAAGTCTCTAATTTGATTATAGATTCCTTGGTGCTAACTCATAAGTCGACAATTGTAGATATGGATCATCGGAATCGATGAATTCTCCAATTCGTTGTTGGGCTAAGATGATAACAACTCATTATAACAATTAAATTGGATAGTCAAT